TTATCGTCCATCACTCGTTTCTCTGCCAATAACACCTTCCTGTTTATGCGACTTTGCCGTAAAAAATATATTTCATATCCGAGTGCGCATCTGCTGGCAGGTCTGGAAAATAATGTTCTGTTTGCTTATGTACAAATGTCAATACCAGCTCTGTAGGGATCTCAAGGCTTGAGTTGGTCGAGTGCCAAATAATCTAAAGCAATAGAAGCTGGATATAAGCGCATATAAGATAAACACACGTCTGATATAAGCAACACATGCTTACATTACGCTGGTGGTAGAAGGCAAAGGGCTGCAGATACCAGCATACTTCCTGTACGAGTTGGCCTTGTTCCCAGGGGGTGTGCTTAGATGCTACCGTCTCCGTATCAGAGCCACCGCAAACCGTCGTGCCAAAGGTGTAGAGTGCCAATATGTGAATGAGTTTGGCTTCCCGCTTCATGTATTGACTTATTTCTCTGAGAAGCAACATCGCGCCTATGTTGGGTCCTGCTGCGGTGTAACGGGTAGCACACTGGACTTGCAACCCAGAGGTCGCCGCTTCGACCTCTTGGCAAAGGCATTTGAAACAATCGGGCAGGTGTCTTACATCCTCCCCCACCGCTGTCCGCCCAGTGGGAGGTCCACTTCTGGACATCTGTGAAAAAAGAGCTTAAAAGCTCGTCGGATTCCTCCAGTCTACATACACATCCTGATTCGGATTCTTCTGAGATAAATTAGTATACCACAGTAAGCTGACTGGGAGGTCTCATGTGGTGGAGTAAAGTGTGGGTGCTGCCACCTCTTCCGAGACGTCTCTGGCTAGCATGAAGGAGTAGGCCAAACTTCCATCTAGAGTGGCTCTTTGGAGCTTCCGTTTTTGGAGGCACTTCTGCCGGCAGTGACGCGAGTTACTAATGGCAGGGCTGCATCTTTATCTTTTCCGTTTACTCCATGTAAATAGCTTCAAATATACGTAAGCACATTATAGATAGATATACAGATAGGTAGACGTATTGATTGATTTTTAATTAACCACATGGTTACACATTTAAATGAGCATTTGTAATTCATTTGTATTGAAAAACAATATCTAAGTCTCAAGAGCCAAAGTAAGGAATCCTAACAAAATGGATCATATTACATATTAATCCAGAATGATAAAGCAATGGCTCTCATCTCTTTTGGTGACCTCGTGAGAAAGAATTATATTTTTTTCTATGCGTTGGTTGAGTTTTCCCATAAAACAACCACTGTTGAATTAATGCACATTGGTCCTCACTTTATTCATCTCAGAGAGACGATAGGCTGGGTCAACAAGCGACCAATATTTCTCTGGTTGTGAGCCGAATGCTCTGGCCACGGTCGTTAGCACACTGCACTCACAAGTTCGATTCGTGGACATTGCATATCAAAGTAAGATGATATTGTTAAAATAATATTTTTTTATCACGTTTAACTATTCATTTGAAATAATTGCTGCCGAGTTAGTCTCCTAGCCAAAGTCACCCTTGAAAAAGAGCTGCACATCTCAATGGGTAATACATTTCTGATTATGATGTGGTCAATCAACTCCTGTGACCGAGGCTTTCATTCAAATGGCTGTACATTTGTACATATTATTATTCGTGGTCTCTAGAGTGACCTGTTGAAGAAATACCAGTTCTGTGGTGTCTCTTTTAGGTTCATTCCCTGGTGCGATGTTATTTTTTTTTGCTTCCTGTATGGGATTCGGTGATGGAAAAGCTCCCTGCTGTGTCGAGACAGCAAAATCAGGGCACAATTGGCCAGAAAAATCAAAATATGTTGAAAGAGTGTAGGAGCCTGCAAGAAATTGCCCGTATTTCTTACAGCAGAATGTGCCCACTTGAGTTAAGCTGAAAGCAGAGCTGTACAGTCAATCTTCGGTTACTTTAATGGCCCCACCGAGTTAGAAAAACGTGGATAAACCTGCCCCTAAATCATTCTGCAACCCTTATGCAGGGTTTAAGCGTAGGCTTCTCCAAAGGCACATGCTTGATCTAATCAGCATCAAACTCTAAACAAAGCTCCACACTGTGTCTTGCAATGTTCTGGTAGAACTGTTCTTTTTTTTTTGGAGGTAAGCGTGATGGTGAAATTTGGGAGCATTGGTGACATTGTGATTTTGATTCTCGTAAAATGGTGGTAGTTGATGGTAATAACATCTAACAGAAAGAGAGCATTTAAACCGTACGGTAGGTTTTTTTTTTCAATAAAATTATTACATTTTAAATAATAATAAATTGCGAATATTTTAGTTATGAAGTGTTAATTGAATGCTTTAAAAGTCAAGCAAATTGTGTGGCGACGCTGCTACATTGTCAGTGGTGCACATAGCACAAACAACAACAAGCTCTACACATTCGTCAATAACACCGTGTGGCCTATAATGTGTGACGTTTCACACAATGGCCCTTCTTTGTAGCACGTTAATGTCTGCGGTTACAATGACATAAACAGTACAGTAAATAGAATCGAAGATAAATTCAAAGCCACCATGGGGTGGGGGCGGTGTGCTCATTGCTGACCCTGGGGTCAGCGGTGGAGATTCTGCATTGAAGTGACGATGCCACAGGGCATCCACTGTTTACTTCTCACAATGCGTTAGCGATGTTATTGATCCAAGAGGAATGTTTGGGCTGAATCAATCTCCCGGCCGGTATTTGAACCACAACAGCTTTTGGGACACCCAGCATCAACCACCCAGAATGCGTGACGTGAAAATAGCACACTGCGTCATGAATTTCATCACGTGGCAGATGTTGCGACTCACTCCGTGACGTACTATATGCCATCACACATCGCATTATAATGCGAGTCATTTTAATGTGGAATTGCTACCAGGTAAAGTGCACTCTGTGCCAGGAGTCACGTTGCCACTTTTCATGACGCATTGTTGTGAACTCACAGCTCGGAATGTGAAGGCATAATACTTTTGCGTGTCTCTTACCATGAAGCCCACAGCAATTCCATCACCGCTGTCAATCGGTCACATTTGCTGAAATGTATTTTGATGGTCACAATGCACTTGTTCAAGAAATGTTGATGCTCTATTTTTTTCCATAACGCACAAAGGCTGAGTGCTTGTTGTGCTCTTTGCCTCGTGTGTTGTTTGATTTTTTGTTTTCCTCTGGCCTGCATTACGTGTCCGTTATCGGATTTTCTCGTCATGTCCAGATTTGATTAATGCAACATTCTACGGGTCTATTACAGCTGTTAAAAAAAAAATTCCATTCTAATTTCTACCATGTCCATTTGCGAGGCGATGTTGTTGTGAACTCACAGCCACCAGTCCTGCGGGAAAGCAGAGAGGCATTTAGATTCGTATATGAATGGAGCTCCGCGAATGTTATTTATTTTTAAAAAAAGTTTTACCTTTGCGAGAATTTGCTGTTGCAGTCGCCTTCTAACTTTTCATCATTGTGACCCTTTTACCTTCAAATAATAAGTGGGGGTTTTTTTTGCAATGTATCTTTGTACGTTGACATTAATTTGCACCCTAAGTAGCCATTCGTGCTAATGCAACGTGCAGGGGAAGGACAACAAACTAAACACGAGAAAGCAGTTCTAAAGAAATTAATTTTTAATCTAGGTTTAAAAGTCCGTAGCTCCAGTGGCTTCCTAACATCGGAAGGAAGAGCATTCCAGACGGCCGCAGAAGCGCATCTGAAAGTGCGCGATGCAATAAAATTGAGTATGTATAATAATTAAACAATGTACAGCCCTTTGTCAGTCCAGTTGTGGATGTACGCCTCACCACGCTATACTGCAAACTTCACCACGCTGATCAGTGCGGGATGGCGAATAGGGGCATTGGAGGGGCGGACGGGGGTGATTGGTTCAAATATCACTTGCCACTGATGTTAGCCATGGCCAAGAATATAACTCAGTTCACCGGGTTCATGTTGCAGTGTGAACCACTGTGCCGCTCAAGTGTAAATGCATCTGTTCATACATTTGGAAATGCATGCAGTTAACCGACTTCTTTTTTCGCTTACTTTTCCCATTCGAGAACATGATATTTGCTGCAATAGAATAAATATTCTTATAAAGAGTCAAAAAGCTACAAGTTGAATCTCCACAATTCTGTGACAGAGGCCAGTCTCTCCATAGAGCAGGCATTTTCCAATTTTCCAGACAGGTGTGCGAATGTTTTTTTATTATTATCAGATTTAGTAGGCCTACAGTGATCAATTTCTCCTTTGGACTTGATGAATCGCAATCATTCGGGCGTTGCGATTCCATTCAAGGGTCGATTCTTATTTTAACGTTGTGGTGCATTTAAGGCCTCTATTGGCTGCAGGGGCTCACCAATCAAAATGGACGAACTCTCTCGCTCTGGAGCCCACCTGGAGAATATTGCAGGGATGTGTTGACAATGATGGCGAACAAGTGGAGACTCTTGAAGCTGTTAACATAATTTGTTATCATGTTACAGTGTAGCATCCGTTCTTTTTTACTACCAGACAGTCTCATCCCTTCACCTGATGAAGGCCGCTTGTGTTGTGGCCGAAACGTCGTGAGAATCTTATTGTGTTATTTTATTTTATCAATTTATTATTTCATTCTCATTCTACGTGACTTTACCGAAAGAACCAAAGAAGAAGATAGTCCCATGCAAGTGTTCACAGGTTTTTGAAGCACCCTGTATAAAAGGGTCACACTCTATTTCAATATCTGCTTTGAGCATTCGCGCAGAGAGAAAAAAAAGAGCCACACTTGGAGGCTGGGCTTGAACTCCTCATGACCCGAGTGTCCACGTGTAAGGAAGAGGTGCTTTCCAGTGGGTCACAGTGGCCGGCAGCAGCAGCATCTTTGCCTTTCATCACCTGCCCTCATAAATCAGCCGCATCCCGGCACAAGCAGCAGGGCTACGGGACGCTTCGGCAACATGGGTGGGGAGCATGGGAAGCGAGTGGCGGCGGAGAGGGGTGGAGGGGGAGGGGAGGAGAGCGGTTGCTCACGATCTGTTCTCATGGACCCTGTCCCCCTTTTGTCAGGAAGAGACACGGCGCGTCACAAGGGCGCCCTTCCCAAGCTCGGGAGCCGCGCGGAGCGGCCAGGAGACGCAACAAAGGCCACCAACAAGAGGAGAGCAAACGCGCCCCACAAAGGCGGTACATGTGCTGATGAACTGCGGCGGACTGCGCCTTACCGTGCGATGTTCGGCACCTGCCCGGCCCGTATGGTTGGGAGGAAACTTCAAAATCTGGTTCGATGCAAGCATGAGCACAAGTTGAAAAACCTATGAAGTGGTGGATTTACGTTTCCGGAATTGTTTTTTTTATTTTTCGCGCCAAACGTCTGAAATCGAAATGGGTTTCTTTTTACCTAGACATGTTTCAAACGAACAAACAAAGACTAACACCCCCCCCCCCCCCCGAATAAAGGCCAAACATCTACAAGCGTTTGGCAAAGGACAGTTAGCACACAAGGCCACATGCTTCCACTGTCAAGCTGACAGCACGTGCGTTCCCATTATTTAGCCACGCTCTGTCCCATGTTAACCATTGCCCCCAAGTGACACTTTTTATTTCGTATGGCTGATGTATGTAGATGCAGAGCCAAAGCTACAATTTCACATTCAGGTGGTCAAGGCAGATAACGGCGTCAGGACCAGCGGAGCGTGTCGCTGTGATCTCTCCTTCGTATTTGTGGATCGGGCATAGATTCGCTATACGTTGTACGGTCTGTTCTGGATGACCACAGTCGCACACTTGAGATTTTAACATTTCGCATTTGGTATCCACATCTGCCATGGTTTGAGAAGATGTGGTCCATGAGCTTCGTGGAAGATCAAATCTACGGATCTTCTACTTGGTTATCTTCGTATAAAGTTGCCTGTTCATAGCCTCGGTTATTCATTTTAATTAATACAATCAAAGGAATCAGAAACAATTCAGAGTAACACTTCATAGAATGTATTGCTAATGTAGTAATAGGTTTTACCCTTTTAACTGGCACAAAAACTGACACCTTTATTCAAGGCATCATATTTGCAATAACCACAACACAAGCAGTCAAAATGCAAACAAAAGAGACAACTCTGATAATAATATGCACTGTCCTTTTTTGTGCCAGTTAAAAGGGTAAAACCTATTACTATATCTTGTTACTGGCAAAGGAGGTCTCATAATGTAAATATTGCTAATGTGTTTAGTTTGTGCGTTTGAGACTGGGATTTGTAGTCAAAGCTCGCAGAATTCGGTCACCGCCGATCAGATCCTCAGCTTCATTAATACTGATGAGGGGTCCCCAATTGATACAGCGACAACTGGGTATAAGCACAGTTCTGATATAAGCACCACGTGCTTACTATACAACAGTGGTGCAGAAGGCAAAGTTGAAATTTCTCGATACGAGCACACTGCTTCGGATATAGGCACACGTGACCTCGTTCCTAAAAGTGTGGCCATATCCAGCTGCTACTGTACAACCTTCGAGGTGGCATTCACGCGTCGACTGATCGACCCAAAAACCGTGCTGAGCAAGTGGCCGTATTGTTGGTAATGGAGACATTGTCGCATTCCCATCAAACAAACGGGCACCAATAAGACGATTGAAAACATCCGCTACGACACACGACTCAGGCCCCTAGTGTGTATGAAGAAAGGAGAGTTTCCTTAGTTCCATGTCATTGGGTGGGCTTTCATGTCATTTATTTTCAAAGCGCAATTCATATATATTGGAAAAAAAACAATTACTGGATTGTAGTTGTTTGAGAAGGTAATTGGATGTCGTGAGTTGGCGGGGCCGCGCGGGTTGTTGTAGCGACAGGCACTGGGGGGGGGAGGGGGGGGCGCCTGGTAACGTGAGAATCTATATTCCTGTGCGTTGAATAGAGATGGGGGTTGCACAATCACAAAGGGGGGTGGGGGGGGGGGCATTATTAGAAATGGCAATAAAACTGTACTCACAGAAGCCAAGTCTCTCTTAGGGAGAAAGAAAGAAAAGAATTACAGGAGCAGCTGGTGGGCTGACTCGAATGGGGGCGAGCTCGTTTGTGCTGCGTGCACGATTCACACGGGGACACGTTTAGCATTGAGGACCCCCTCATGGAGGACTGCCACACATTTAGCATTGAGGACCCCCTCATGGAGGACTGCCACACATTTAGCATTGAGGACCCCCTCATGGAGGACTGCCACACATTTAGCATTGAGGCCTCCCCTCATGGAGGACTGCCACACGTTTAGCATTGAGGCCCCCCTCATGGAGGACTGCCACACGTTTAGCATTGAGGCCCCCCTTCATGGAGGAGTGCCACACGTTTAGCATTGAGGCCCCCCCTCATGGAGGACTTGCACACGTTTAGCATTGAGGCCCCCCCCTCATGGAGGACTGCCACACGTTTAGCATTGAGGCCCCCCCTCATGGAGGACTGCCACACGTTTAGCATTGAGGCCCCCCCTCATGGAGGAGTGCCTTTGATCAGAAGACTCGGGTATTCACGGCAGTCGGTAATTGTGAAGCGTGCTCAACTTGCACTGTACATACATACATGTTTTTCTTAATGTTGTGGTCGTTAGAAGTGATTATGGTTCAATGCGATCCATATTCACTTTTAACGACAACAACAAAAACCTTAACGTTTTTGCAAATAACACTGTGGCCTTAAAAGGAAAAAGGTATAATGGGCAATGTTTCAGGCAAAGGCCCTTATTTTTAGTACATAGATAGAGCAAATAATAATTGGGACCTGATAAGAATAACATTAAAAATACTGATGAAGTTTCGATGTAAAGCTTTCGTGACTGCAGGGATTAATCTTTTTGGTTCTTTCGGTAAAGTCACGTAGAATGGAAACCAAGAAGATGAATCCCTGCAGTCACGAAAGCTTCAAATCGAAATTTAACCACCTCTACGGGGAGGGATTCCACACAACCTTAAGATCCTTCAACAAACTCCGGGATAAGAAGGCTCAACTAATCGAGTCGCTCACGTTACTGAAGAGGTAATACCAACCGCATTTACTGATGAAGTGCTTTCAACTTGGCATATGTAAGACATTGTGTAACAACCAAAGCATTCACTAAACAAACACGTATTACTATATACATACATTTATTTTATTAAAAGTTAAACCATAAAATGTTGCTGGCACATTGCATAATGGGTAACCATGTTCCACTCTGGTCTTGTATTATCTACTGCATTTAAAAAAAAAACATTATTTAAAGAGGTTATTTTCACAATCACTTATTGCAAATTAGTTATACAGTATAAGCATATGTAAAGGTGCATTCCTGAAATTGCTTGTGAATGTCACTGCTTACATTAGGACATGGATAGAGACCGCTCTACGGAGCCCCTGTCGGCAGTATTTAGCCTCCACCTCCACACTGACCCAACGATTTCCCAGAGGTGGGGGAACTCACACTTTACCCCACCACACGCAACCTGCCCATCCACTAACTTCCTCGTAGTTCGTATGGCCGATGTAGATGCAGAGCAACAACTACAATGTCACGTTCAGGTGGTGGAGCCAGATAAAACGACCACAGTCGCACACTGTTTGTGCACCCATTGCCACTACTGGCTGGACAGAGGTAGCAGGGTGAAGTTAAGACATGCGCACTGTTGTCACAACTGCCGCACAAAGCAGCAACCTCTGGATTGAAATAACATTGCATGAAGCGTTACTGCACAGCATCAAAGCTACACTTGTAAAAAAATAAAAAAAAATAGATATTCTTATATTCTTATGGGATGACACTCATATCAATGATCGACCCCCGAGCCAGTGGTCATGTGGAAGATTCACTGCTAGGTCAGGGCCTCGTATAACACTAAATGTTGATTTAGTAAAATTGCTCAATAAATAAAATGTTGTATAAACGAAAAAAATCAGTTTAATTTAAACAGTAACAATCACTAAATATTGTAAGTAGAACACATTTTAATTACTGGAAATTATAAAGAAAATGTGTTTTGTTGCTTATTCATGATTTCAATTATATACAGGAAAGTACCAACTTACAAAGTCTATGTTTGGGGTGACAACTTGATATGAACGATAATTAAAACATTATACATGGATGAAGCCATGGCACACTGGTTCGTATGCTGCACTTTGGATTATATGAATTCATGATGATTTATTCTCAATTACTGCGTAATTTCAGATTAATTCTGAAAATGATCATATTCTCAAAAGTATAAAATATATTTTTAAATATAATGACACAAAAATAATATAAAGATCAAATAAATGCAATATATTTTTACCATCGTATTATATTTTGTAGTGAAATGGGGGTAGATTGGTGACAGCTGTCTGCACCCTGCGCTCAAGACTAAAATTCATCCGAGTTCGATTCCTGGCCACGGCTAACATCAGTGACGAGTGATACTTAAACTGATACAATTCCCCACCCCTTAAATAACCTGCACTGGCTAGCGTGGTGAAGTATGGGCAAACAAACACCCATGATTAATGTAGAATGGTGAGGCCTCCGTGTAGCAGTGGATAAATAAATGGCTATAAATTGTTATGATCAGTGCCTCGAGTAAAATGCACTTTGTACAATATTAAACATTGGAAAGTTAAACAAAAATACATTAGTGTGCACATTAGTACACTCTCCCACATATACGTAAACTCTCTTAAACACACGCAAAGACAAAGCTGCATTGAGCCATATAGACCATAGGGAAAAGTGCTCTTAGCAGGCACCTACTATGTTTGGAATAACATCGGCTCACACTTCCACACACATAGACAAATGCAAAGCCAAAGATCCTGCATATAGCCCACACACACGCAGACCAACAACAACAGCTACCATTATTTTTGCTGAGAGTCAGTGACGTCACTGCGGCACTTGTTCCAGGCTAGGTGCACTTTGAGGCCATGTCAAGAGGCTGAGGCTCGCTGCATGGTGACGGGACAGACCCTGATGTGGGTGAACCGACCCGGGTGACTGGCAGGTGCACCCCGCTGTTTCACAATCCCTGGTGTTTTAGCCATCCGGCGCTCTGCTTATTGTTGTGAACATCGCTTACCCCCCCCCCCCCCCCCCCCCATTATTGTTGGAGGAGGGCTGATGCAAACATTAGACAATGGGTCCCCAGACAGGGATACATCATCTTGGGACAAGTGCTCTTACAGAGCACG